ACATTCTTCACTTCTTTAAGCTAGTATTACTTGTTGGTGTGACCCACTTCTCGTCTATCTTTGAGTGGCAGTTGGTGGTCTGTGAGGACCTGTGTGCTTTGGTATCCATATCTGATTAGCATAAAAATAGCCATCGCTGCAGAGGTTCCTGGTTTGGTGAAGGCCCCCATTTTATGAGACGGTCACAAACAGGTTTGGAGCCTCAGCATAACTAATTTACAGCCAGAACAAAAGACCAGCTGACAGTTCCAGTCAAAATTGGTTAGGCTTAGCTCACTCACTTCTCTCCGAAATCCTCCTTTCAAAAGTATATTCTGTATGTTATTGAAGTGTCAAACATGCATACACTGAATGTTATGATACACCCCTCGGTGAACATGTACAGACAATAATATAACACATTTTGATACTACACTAACTCACAAGAGACAGGAGCAATAGTCTGCCGACAGGATTGATTTGCTTTACTTTCAGCCTGTGTTAAAAAGATGAGTGGATGAACTGGGGGAGGTGTTTTTTAGTCTGCAGTTTCTTCTATACTGTATTAGTAAGCAATAAAGTAGGCTATTCAGTTTCTTTCAAAGCCGTACATCGTAAAAATACATTGGGTGTAAATGTCTGCGATGGTAAACATAAAGGTATATAAAGAAAGAGGGACTGCAGCTAGCAAACATTATGAGAGTTTCCTTTATCAGACATGTCTGAACTTGCTTTAAAACACCCTGGCACATTTCAGAGACTCTAAGTGTTCTTATTTGTAACGTGTTCAGGAGGATGCATGTGTTTTAAGGCCACTCCTAAAAGATTTTTCAATTACGAGTGCATTAAAGGTATAGTTCACCACAAAAAGAATAGTTTTTTTCGCTTGCAAAAGAAAAAAAAATTCCTTCCTCTTTGAAACTTAAAATTATATTATAGGTAGAATATCTGTGCTCTTTTCGATTATGAATCCATGTGAAAAACTGAGTTCCCTTTCGTAGTCACTCCGAGTTACGTCGGAATGACGGAGAATGGGGGTTTCGCATAGAAAGCCAATCCTCTTCGAGTATTTAAAAACGAGCCAATGGCATGAAAATGCCTTGGGTCTGCGGAATTTACATAGCGTATCTCCGCCCCACCCCGTGGGTATAAAAGGAGGAAGTGAATATATGTATGTTTTCCGCAGTATGTTTTCGCTTCGGAGCCAAGAGAACTTCTTCACTCCACAAGCCACACAATCTGAGTTTACTACGGTGACTCACCTCTTCGAGACGAGCGAACTCTCTGGTGTTGGTGTGACGGCGGTACCCAGCGAGTTTCACATTGCCTGCGATCTGAGCAGTGGTCTGCCAGTGTGTGTGTCTCTCCCTGGTCGCTTCAACATCCGCGGAGTTTTCTCCTCTCACTGAAAGAGTGTGCACGCGGCACGTCTTTTTAAAGACGCGTCTTTTTGAAGACGATCTGCCCGTGTATTCCTGAGTGTGGTATTCTGATAAAATCAGCTGATGGGCGCGAGCGCTGTTTGATGTGTTTGGGCTTTGATCACGCTCAGACAGCGCTCGTGGGTGTGTCACGTTCTCTCAGTGGGAACGTGATCATCGCAATGTATAACGGTTGAGACTCAATGAGCTCAGTAGAGTGAGAGTCCCCCCATCCACAACCCGAACTATTTTCTCCATGTGAGATAATGCTTTGGCTTGTGGGCAGGGTGACCAAAAAGACGTCAGGTCTGGAACTAAACCGACGAAATTCCTCGGTCCACACCCCGTCTTGCACGTTGCAACCCATGTGGTCCAGGGTGAGTTGGCGGGGCCGTCCGCGGGCCCGCTTTCTCATTCGGTCCCCCAGCTGAGGAAATCATGTTTATCGCCGCATCACAAGGTGAGCTGGAGTCCTCTGAAGATGGCTCGTCTGTGCTGCTGTCCTCGGATGTGCTAGCATAGCGAGTTTGATTCAGGGCTCACAGCTATGCTTCCAGGCTGCCACGAGTATCGGGTTTGTGTGGAAAATTCTGCCATATCCTGAGCACTTAAGGCTGATGATTGGTTTTTGGGGTTGGCGAACCCAGATCCTTTCTTCCCGGATGTGCATGAAGAGGCCGTGAGATCGTGGAAGTCTCCTTTGACTTATCACGATCACTCAGCGGCCTCTTCCGCCTTCTCTGCTCTCGTGGAGGCCGCAGTCTAGGATGCACTGGGGTTCCACCCTGTGGAGTGTTCTGTGGCAACACTTATGTGTCCCCACAGTGCCTCCACCCGGTGTGGCAGCCCTAGGCACCCCTCCAAATCCTGTAGGTTCTTGTCTACTCCGGTGGCGGGGACCTATAGAGCTGCGGGGCAGGCTGCCACCTCACTGTATGTTATTGTCATTCTCATGGGTGTTCAATGACATGCACGAGGGTAGGGCTGATTCAGGGCTCATCCTTGAGCTGCCTGCCGTCACCGATCTTAATCTACGAGCGACGAAGGTGACCTCATGCTCCCTGAGTCAGGTGATGTCCACGCATGTGGTCAGACATTTTTGGCTTAACCTGGTCGATGTGCGTGAGGCTGCGTGAACCAGTTCCTCAACTTTCCCATATCCCAGGCTGGCCTCTTCGGCGGCGCGGTCGAGAACGCTACCCAACAGTTCTCGGCCGCCCAGAAGCGGACTGTGGCTTATCTGACTCTGCGGTTACTGCTGCTACTAGCCGCTGGCTCAGATGCTTCTGTCCGCTTGCCGCCGAATGCGCCCTCCTCCGACTTCCGCCCCCTCCCGTCCGGTCCCAGCAGCACCGGGCTGTGCCGTGGAAGTGGTCGTATAAGTGTTAATTTAACTCCTATAGAGTTGAAATTGACTCTGTCTCAGATAACATTTGGTCCCACTCAAAATCAGTGTAAAATTAACTCTTTGGTCAGTGTCAGGTTTTTAGAGTTAATTCTACTCAATATTGTGTAAAAAATAACAATGAAATGTGTAAAAGTATTTAACACTGTAGTTTAATTGCACTGTTAAGAGTAATATGATCACACTGTAGAGTTAATTTAACTACAATTTTACTTTAAAAAAATGACACTTTAAGTGTAATATTTACTTTTCATTTCTCGGTGATTTAAAAAATATATAAATCATAAGATGCAGTGTTACTGAATTATATGAATTATTATCAACTACAATCAAATGAAAACAAGCACAATCACATTAGATCACAGCACTCACCATTTATTGTAACAAACAAAGAAAGCAAAGAAAAAAACAAAGAAAATTTCAATGTCAGTGAAATTACATTGCAAACCCATTGCCTTGTCTCTGACAGAAACATATCGTCATCATAATGTTTACCAGAGAAAGCAATATGGCACGATGAGGATAGTTGTGTCATTCCCTCCATATGACATTTGTATGTCAAAAGGCCTAGGGTAATGCAGGTTGTCGACATGAAAAAAAAAATAATAATCCTGCTTTGATCTGATCTCCTCATAAGCATGGAAATGTTCTTGAAAAGTTACTGTAACTAAAGGCACTGTGAGTAGCAACAGTTTTTCAAACATTATCAGAACTGACTCAATCTGATAAAACACGGGCATAGAATCAACTAAACTGCTTCCATGGCACTTATTAAGATGCTTTCTTAACCCTCAATCGGTCCTTGGGGTCTATATGACCCCAATCGACTTTTCCTTGATAAAAAAAAAATGGTTTCCTTTATCTGAGTGGAATAAGATTTTGTGACTTTTCCTACAAAATCTATCTATACACAGAAAAAAACTGGGCTTGATTCGGTTGTTCTGAAGGTGTGTAAAAAAAATGTTTACAAATCTGGTCTTCGGGGTCAAAATGACCCCACATTGAAATGAATGGGAAATGTGAAAAAAACTAAATATTTTGTATTCATTTGTCCAAAAAAATATATAAATCCATCATAAATCAGAAAATTTCCACACAGAAATAAAGGCCTACTACTAGAGCATAAATGTGATTTAGAAAAAACATGCTCACTCACACACACACACACACACACACACACACACAAAAACACACGCAAACAAACATGTATTAGTGTACTGCCACAGAGAGCATTTTTTAGAACTCACAAATGAAATCAGTCACAAATGCAGAACAAAGATATTAAAGTGTGAGACCTAATACACACACACACACACTCACACACTGATTATAGTTTTACAATTTGTTTTACATGTTTTTTGTAGCTTGTTATTGCTTTTTAAGTTCAGAATTTTATTGGAAAAAATGATAGATTAGATGTTCACTCATATTGCTTTTGTTTTCATATTATTTATTTTATTTATTTTGCATTCTAAAGTTAATTATTTATTTTTACACTTTGTTCAATAAAATCAACAATGTGCAACTAAAATCTGACTCCAAGTCTTGTCCTTTAGGTGTGTCTTATGTGGCATTTAGCTGTCCTTTTTCTGTGGCACTTTGTAAAAACAGACGTTTCAAAATGCATCAAAAACTACAACAATTATACTATTTAAAAAATGTATAATTTTAAATGTCCTTTCTTATGTTTATATATATATAAAAATTCATAAAATGTATTTCAAAAGTTGTGACAGAAGTAGTAGGCCACATGCAGTAAAATGAATGGCTCTCTATTGCCTCTGCTGGTCAAAACTATTTATTTCTAAAACTGTAAAGAATTTAGTTTTATCTCTAACCAGTAGATGGCGTAATTCTACACATAGCACCTAGCTCAATATCCAGAAGCAATTTAAATTAAATTTTGATCATTATTAAAGTGATTTTTTCATAAAAAATTAAGATTTCATTTGCAAGTTTATGGTGTGGTTGAGGAATTGTGTTGTAAATAGGCACAAAAGTACTTCTTATCTCCCAAAACACAGCATTAATGAATAGATGAGAAGTAAACAAAAAAAAATATATTATTTGTATTATTAAAAATGTATAGTTTTTGTACAATTTCTCTATCAATTGTTGGGGTCATATTGACCCCAAAGACCAGATTTGTAAACAGAAACAAAGACCTTTTGAGGGTTAAACCAGAAAAACTACCAAAAGAACGCATCCTTCTTGACCACACTTCAAAAAAAGAGTCCTGCCTGTACATAGTCCATGAATTACCTTAAAGTGCTTAACAAGGTTGTTTGGACCTCCATGGTCACTTTTGCAAAGAAAACACTTCATAGTTTTATCTCAACTAACGCACCATTCTTGCTCGCAACTCCGCAACTCTAGGAGTCTCCTTTGTTTCCCCCATGTCAATGTTATAGATGGTTGTTTGAACAAAAGTGAAAAAGCTGCTCAGGGAAGAACTGTATGACGTACCAAAGACGTAATGGGCTTTAAAGAGTTCGTCAAAAGCTCCAACTGAACCTTTTGCCTTGCATGGAAGTGCATGCTTGTCAACCACAATGAAGAAGGAGTGAATGGTGCTTTGTGTGGATCCCTGGGCGAGAAGATAGGGCTGACTGCTTTGGGTGATGTTGTCTAGATGCTGCTGCACACTGGTTCCAACCTACAACAAAACACATTTAACAGAATTGTTTTGGTGACTAACTTCTGAGAATAGATCAGATCACCTCAAACTGTGCACAAGATTGAGGTGATGGAAGATATATTAACAACTCTTAAAGGATTAGTTCACTTTGAAAACATTTTTTGCTTATAGTTTACTAACCCCCATGTCATCCAAGATTTTCATGTCTTTCTTTCTTCAGTCAAAAAGAAATTAAGGTTTGAGGAAAACATTACAGGATTTTTCTCCATATAATGGACTTCCACGGTGACCAACGGTTTGAGGGTTCAAATAAGGGTCTCAATTGAGCTTCAAAGTCTCGACTTGATCTCAGCAGAGAAATAAGGTTCTTTTATTTTGAAAACGGCCGTATTTTTATTTTGAAAACGACCATTTGTTTCGCTACATAAGAACTTTATTTTTCTGCTGGGATCATGTCGAGACTTTGAAGCTACATTGAGACAGACTTTGAACCCTCAAACCATTGGTCCCCATTGAAGTCCATTATATGGAGAAAAATCCTGTAATGTTTTCCTCAAACCTCAAACCATTGGTCCCCATTGAAGTCCATTATATGGAGAAAAATCCTGTAATGTTTTCCTCAAACCTTAATTTCTTTTTGACTGAAGAAAGAAAGACATGAACATCTTGGATGACATGGGGGTGAGTAAATTATGAGTAAATAATCATTTAAGCATACCTTTTGAAATCTGATGAGCTGATCTACAGCTTGATATGCAGACAGCTTTCCCGGCCTCTTTCTACCTTGTGCAGATGGTGGTAGCAAATGTAGCAGCAGCAAGATGGCAGACATGTCACTGTCCCAGCCTACAAATAAGTGAATAAAAACCTGGTTAACATTATACCACAGTATAGCATTCAAATTGACAACTCGCACCAATACGAAAATGTACACTACACAACTACATAACCCACAATAAGAAGTAAAACAGTTCCATTCATACCATTCTCAACTTCAGCAGCTGACTCAGCATTGCGCATCAAATCCAAGAGTTCTGTGGTGGGTACAAGTCCTTGGATTTCCTTTATTACTTTTGCTTTGAAAGTGGTTGGCCACTTCTCCAAAAATTTGTTGGCCGTGGCCTCACCAAACAGAAGTCTGAAATCTTGTTCTATCTGCAATGTAACACACATAGACAGAAGTGATGAGTGATACATAATGCTACATTGGATATTTTGGTGATGCAGTGAATTATTAAGATGTCATACCAGTCCTGGTGTGTCCAGAAATCGTGGGAAGACCAAGAAGACATCTGATGATTTGGCTTCATCGTTGACCATTGCTTGCCGATATATGAAGGTCATTTTCATCTTCTCACGGACAGTCTTTTCATCAGAAGAGTGTTTTAAAACAGCAATAGCTGCTTCCACATCCTCATCAGACAGCTCTCTGTCATTGGCCAAGGGCTGACGACCACGGCCTGGCCCACCAACTTAAGAGAAAAAACAATGTTAAGTACTAATTTCTGTACAATTCACAGGTTATAATCACATGTCACTTATCAGTAAACATACCTTTAGGAGATTTGCTGACTGAGGCACCTCTTTCCTTTGCTGATTTTCTCTGTATGGTCTTCAATCGCCATGCAAGGTAACCCGAACCACTCTCCGGATCGTAGTAATGTTCCTATGCAATTGTAATAATTTATAAAGGAGTACTATTAACATTTCAAACAGTGAATATGTGCATAATGTTGCACTAACCCATTTACTTACATATCCATGTTGTGAGTATGGGTCTTCTAGATAGGGAAACAAGGCTACTATCCCCTGTGCATACATCACTCTAACACTTTTGGGGGGGGATGTCCTAGCAAATGAATTCAAAGTTAACATCATACTCAATTGACATTGCACAACACAATTTACATAATTAATAACTGTAAAATAATAACAATGTTTCTTTATAGCCCCTTAATGCTTACCCATGTGTTTCTGTCATCTCAGCAGCAAGTATGTTAATCATCTGTCTTCTGGTGGCATCTGTCAGAGATTTGGTTTTTCCATACTCTTGCATAATGCGTTCACCACCAGGTTTTGATGTTAGGATTTTTTCAATCAACTATAGGTGGAATAAAATGTGCTTTCCATTATTGTGAAACCATATGTAATGTTGAAAAAAATACTTATCTAGAACACTTCCCATGGTGAAACAACATTCAGATTGGACTTAACAGCAATTTCCACCACTTACCGCTTTTGCCTCGTAGTTTATGTGGCATGGCCTTTTAGGCTGGCTTCCTTCGTCAGCGGCTACTTCTTCAACAGGGTCACACATCATTAAATTCAGGATGATGGTGTCATCAGATGTACCCGAGCATGATGATGATTGAGAGGCACCTGTTCATTATGAAATATGTACAAAATATAAACACATTACAAGAATCAGTTATTTTTAAGACAATAAATATTCTCATTCCGGCCTTTAAACTAAACAAAATAATTTGTGAATTGTCTGAATAAATACCATGTCCTCCATTGCCCAGCATGATTCTGAAAGTTCCAGGTGACTCCTTCACTATTTCTTCAAAAACCTCTGTGTCAACTTCTGTGTCTGACTGGTCATAAACCTTAATGGTCATAAACCTTAAAAACATTCCCTTGTCACAAGAATCAATGGTCATATTTAATTTTGTATTCAAAAAAAGATGAAAGACCTGCACCGGAGTTTGAACAGAAATGATTATTGACCTAACTAGATATCATAGCATAATAGGTTAATGCTGTATTATTTTGTTATTGTGTGATGTATATTGCTTTAACCTAATGTACCCACCTTCTTTCAAGAAAGCATCAAATGTCAGCTCAGACAGCTTGACATATTTCTGCTCTTCCCCGAATTGAACACGCAACAGCATTTTGCCCCTGTTAACATAGAAAATATATTCAAAATCATAATTTAGGGCTGGTTCAAATAAAAGTTACCTATCCATTTCTCTCAGTGCAATGCACTAGATGTTACGGTTACAATGGGCGGCTGAAGAAGACAAAGTTGTGCTGGTCGAATAACGTTTGGCTATTTTCTGCAGCAAATATAGGTTTAGGCTAACGTTAGTTAAATTTTAGAGGCACGTTGTCTCATTAGCTAACGTTACCAAATAGCTGTGCCAAAGTTAGATATTTTAGTTCGAACAGTAACGTTAACCCGTTAAAATAGCCAACAAACACGTACATGCAATCAGTGATCTTATTTTCGCTTATAAGACCAACATTAACTATCAGAAGCATGCAATTGCTAACATTAACGTTATATAACGTTATATACAGACGTTGCCTGGGAAGCTAAAAATACATTAGCTATGAAAAGCTGTTGACTGTATTAAATATTGTATTGTTATAGCGACCGAGCTAACGTTATTTTACGCATAAATCGTTCATAAGTGAAAATATTGCAACACCGTGATATTGAAATATTGAAATCAACGACATGGATTGCTAGCTGGTTAACGTTAACGTTACGTTAATACCATTGACTCATATCAGCAAAACTTTAAAATTATGTAACTTAACGTTAAAAAATATCGTTTTGGTGTTAAAAACACAGGGATGTTACTTACCAAGTTATATCAGTGGTATATCGCAGTCTTCTTCCACCGATGTGCACTTCAGCACAGCAGAATGGCGGGTATTCATCACTGCCGTAGAGTTGAAAATGCTGCGTTTCTGCAGATTTTTACACTCACTTTTAACTCCACTGATAGAGCAACTTTACTCTCCAAAATGTTGAAAATACTCTATCTGGGTTAAAATATGTTTACTCTGAAATATTAACACCCCATTTTTTACTGTGTAGGGAGGCGCCCCTGCCCGTACCAGCCCTGCAGCCCCACTACGTCGCTCCCGTTACGGGCAGCTCGGGTATGGCTTGCAGTTCTTAAGGGAGTGGTCGTAGGCCCACTCCTTCCCCCGGTGGAGGGCTGGGGGAGAATCTTTTCTTCAAAGAGCTGCATTCCATCTCCGAGCACACAGAGCAAGGTGAAAGTGCCCAACGGCCCTGTGCCTCGCCACTCTCATTCTCCTCTGTCTCTGAGGTTGCGGATGGGAGTGTGTGTCGTCCCTGGACCACTCCGCTCCCATCCCCCTCTATCGCCAAGCCCCCAGCAGAGCAGACCCCCGTGGAACGTTGGTCCTTCCCTGGTCTCCTCTGTCGGGGCATGGAGCTCGACTGTGCACCCGCGGGGGGGTGGCACCTCCGCGTCTGCTGGTCTCTCCGCCCCGCTGCCCCTCCGGGGGGACGTCTGTGGCTCGGGTATCCTACTGGATCGGTTCTGGGAGCTTGGTTAGAGCTCCCCAGCCTGTCCCGCTGGGTCGCCCAAACGATCAGACTCGGCTATGCGACTCAGTTCGCACGATCTCCTCCCCGTTCCGGGGAGTTATGGTGGTCGGTGGCTATGCCCCGATCATGAGAGCGGAGATCGCCGCCCTGTTGGCGAAGGGTGCAATCGAGACTGTCCCTTCAGCCGAGATGAGGTCTGGGTTTACTTCATTGTCCCCAAGAAGACCGGTGAGTTACGAAATGGCGACTCCATCCCCAGACGGTCCAGCTGATTTGGGACCAGTTCGGGGAGGCACAGATAGACCTGTCGCCTCTCGGTACTCATCCCACTGCGCCCAGTTTTATTCCCTGTCCGAGGGCACGCTCGGCACAGACGCACTGGCGCACAGCTGGCCGCGGGGCCCACGCAAGTATGCGTTTCCCCAGTGAGCCTTCTTGGACGGGTGTTGTGCAAGATCAAGGAGGACGAGGAGCAGGTCTTGTTGGTAGCCCCTTACTGGCCCACCAAGACGTAGTTCTCCGAACTGATGCTCCTCGCGACAGCACCTCCTTGGCCTTTCCTCTGAGGACACTCTCAGAGACGGGGCATCCTGTGGCACCCTCGTCCCGAGCTCTGGAGCCTACACCTGTGGCTCTTGGACGGGATGAGGCAGGTTTGAGTTCGCTGCCACCTGCTGCGTGGTGGCAACCATCACTTCCGCTAGAGCGTCGTCCACGGGACACCTCTACGCGTCGAAGTGGAACCTCTTCGTCAACTGGTGGTCTTCCATGAGAAGAATCCCCGGAGATGTTCGATCGG